CTCAAAGGTAAATAGTAGTGGCTACTTAATATCTAGAGAAGTAGAGTGGCTATTGTTACTTTGCCTGGCAATGAACTGAATGATGCAGGCCCTGTATGCAGGATTATATGTGGGATTAGCAAACTGGTTTTTATTTGGTTGGTTAAGTTTTGCTATTGAAAACAACAGCCTTGATAATTACCCCAGTCCATCTTTGAGATACTATGTAGGTCAGGTAGCATGCATACACGGGATGGAGCCAACCCTTGTCAAAGGACAAAATTCCTTCAGTTTAAAGATTCTAATTGGCCTTATTTTAGATTCTACAGTTGGACAACATTTCATTGCATAGCATAAAATGTTCTAGTGAGCCAAGCAGAGGAGGATGGTTTTATAGACAGAAAAAAAGACTGAAGAAAGCAGTTGGGTTAGTCATTTCAAAATTACTTTCCTTGTAAGACAGGAACCTGAAGACAGAAAAAAAAAATTTGATTGGGTAAGACTGGATTACCTTTTTGCCTGTGTGTGAAGACCAATGCTGAGGGAAGTTCATCATTCTGTTGATTAAGCCTGTTCTGGCGTTCTGGCTGTTGTCTGTCTAGTCCTGACTTCTCAGGTCCAGTAGACAGTTTAGTCCGGTGATAATGGAACTTTAGAGTGAATTACTTTGTTTTGATATTTAGCGTGCTATGCTAAACAAGAGTTTGGGTCCAGACAGTAAGCATATTTTTATTTGATGCCCCTATTATTTGATAGTGGTGGTGGTGGTATTATTATTATTTAGCTGCTAATTTTGTCCCTTGCTGTTAGACATAGTGGGCAGCTCCTTGCGTTTCTCTAGCTCTCCTCACATATTTGATGTACTTCATTTGCTGCCAGCGCAGTATTGCCGATTTTTAAGTAGACAGGTCTGCATATAGCTATTTGTTATCTTTTTGAATCTTTATTTGGAATTCCTTTCACTGTTTTTTTAGTTGCAATTTACTGAAGCATGAGCTCCTATGTCACATTTTTATTCATTTGATTACTGTTTCTTATGACTCCAACAGCTTTTAGAAATATTTAGAACTGTGGACTTAGAATTTGAGTAGGCAGCCAGTGCCAGTGGCTCAAGCCTGTAGTCCTAGCTACTCAGGAGGCTGAGAGCTGAGGAACACATTCAAAGCCAACCTGGGCAGGAAGGTCTGTGAGACTCTTATCTCCAATTAACCACCAGAAAACCGGAAGTGATTCTGTAGTTCAAATGGTAGAGCACTCACCTTGAGTTAATGAACTCAGGGACAGTGCCCAGGTCCAGAGTTCAAGCCCCGCGGCCAGCCAAAAAGAAAAAAAAAAAAGAATTCTAATAGGCAGGAACAAAAAATACTCCTGTGTGTTACCCTCCTTTTTATGAGCTCTACAAAATTCTTTCCAGATCCTTCTCATTATTTGGAGGGAATTCCATTGCAGATAATAAGGAATACTGAAATGAAGCTTAGGAAGAAGGGTTTTTCTGTCTGAAGTTCTTTATGAAAAACAGTTGTAGCCAAAAGTCTGCAAGCTTTGGATTTGTGTCAAGGAGTCTGGCCTGGCCGACATCAGGCCTGGAAACCTGAAATAAGCCAGGACCCCCCACTTCCAGGGAACATTCTGGTGATAAGCAAACCCTTACTGTTAACTACTAAGGAGCCAGAATGAGCTTGGACATTAGCCTCCGTAATCACACTTGCTTCCTGCGCTGTTTCCTCCCTTCCTCCCACCAAAACTTGCTTACAAATAAATGCTCGCTACAAACATATAATCTGGGCTCCTCTCAGCCCACCACATAAAATAAACCGAGTTACTCCAACCCCTCTGAGAGTTTCACTTGGTCTCTTGGTGGTCTATTCATCTTTCCCTGACATTATGATTTCATTGGATGAAAATTATAGCTGGTTAATCTTGTCTTTATTCAGTTTTCCAGAAATCCCTACAAGGGAAGACTACACAGTTATTACTATCAGCTCTTTCTACCTCTTGTCAGACCCTCTCCCCCATTCATCCCCAATTTTCTCCTTTTTGGGAGGAAAAAATTTCTTCAAGATGGCTAGAAACTATTGTTCTTGGTGTGTTTTTCTCCAATAGTCATTTATTCTTTTTTGGGGGGGGGGGGGAATAATTGGTCATGGGATCTGAACTCTGGGCCTGGGCGCTATCCCTCAGCTCTTCAGCTCAAGGCTAGCTAGCACTCTACCACTTAAGCCACAGCACCACTTCCGGCTATTTCTGTTTATGTGGTGCTGAAGAATCGAATCCAGGACCCCATGCATGTGAGGCAAGCACTCTACCACTGAGCCACCTTCCCAGCCCCAAGTCATTTATTCTTAACTAGATAATTAAAAAAGGTTTGTTACAGACACTGTAAACATGAATTGGCGGGACAGGAGAAGATGAAGGGGGAGTGAATGTGGTCAAAGTACATCATGGGCATGTATGAACATGTCCCATGAAACCTACTGTTTTGTACAATTAATATACCTAATTAAAAAAACAAACAAATACCAACTCTTCCACTTTGGAAAGAAACATGGGACAGTGCGTGCTTCTTGCATTGCTGGGGATAGCAAGCCTTGACCAGGCAGCTCTTGGCTGAGAGCTACCTGCTCAGTGTTGCATTTTTGCCTACTCACAAAACAATTTTCTCATAGCTTGATCCACAGAAATGCCCCCATACAAAGCAAGTATTCTCAATTCAAGCCAGGCAACCTTGAGATTGGCTTTTTGGTTTTGTGTTGATTTTTTTTTTAATGCTGTCTCTTTTGATTCCTTAAATCACTTTTCCCCTTAGGATACAATAACTTCTTAGAAAGATGCATAATTCAAACTTAGAAGGGAAAAAGGGGAGGGAGCTAACACTTGTGGGTGCCTACTCCCAGGATCTCCTTGTATTTAGCCCTCAAAATGGCCACATGAAATGTAGATAGTTTCCATACTTTGCGCAAGAGGAAAACAGTGCTTAGCAAAATTAATGAATTTGGATTATGACCAAGGGGGCAACAAGAGGAACCTGAACTTTCAAACATAAATCAGGTATACTTCTAATCTATTCTTTGTATTGTTTGATTCTACCCTGTTTACAATTTAGAAAGATTACTTGTGGGCTGGAATGTATCTCAGTAGTATAGTGCTTGCCTGACATGCATGAAGCCTGGATTCAGGCCTGAGCACCACTACAAGAAAAGGAATTGTGAGAGAAGGGGAAGAGGAAATGAGGGAGGTACAGAGGAAGGAACGAACGAAGGAAGGAAGGAATGAAGGAAGGAAGGAAGGCTTTTGTACAGTTGAAAATAAATATCCTTGCGTATACTTCCTTATGCACTTACTTGATAGATTCTCAGAAGTAGAATTGCCAAGTCAAAAATCTTAAGTATTTTAAATTTTAATATACCTCACCAGACTTCTAAAAAGATATCATAATTCAGATTAATGAAATATGATAATGCCATTTTGAAGGGATTTCAATCTTTATACTTTTTGCCCATTATTAAACTAATAGTTATTTCCCTGATTTGTAGCATATTTGAAGAGTTTTTATAAGCATGGTATTGGGATCTGGCATTTCCTCCCCTCATTTTGATTCCAGGGTTTTTTTTGAAATAAGAAATTTTTAGCTTTTGTGTCTACCTATATTTCTTGTCTTTGTTAAGAGGGTTTTGAAGACATATCATCTTCTAAATTTTGTTGTAGAGTGTGTTGCTGTGATTTTTTTTACCTTTATTTGATCTGGAATGTATTTTTTAAGTCTGCAAAAAAATTAAGCATAAGAATAATTTCATTAATAGTACAATTTAGGATATGCAAATGTGAAGGATTCTAATTTTGCCTTGTAGAATTTACATATATAAATTAGTCACTGTTTGACACGTTAGTCTTACTTAATATAACTCAATACTAAATTTGTACTTTATCTCCTTTTACTTTTTATTTTTTATTGCTATTATAAAGGTGATGTACCAGAGGGGTTACAATTACATAAATCCAGTAATGAGTACATTTCTTTTTGGACAATGTCACCCCCCTTCCCTCTGAATATGTACTTTAATGTGTGTGTTTTTTTTCCAACAGAATGTTTAACTTTGTCTAATACATACTTTTTAGAGTTAATGGAAATAGTTGTCTACAGACATTATGGTTTGAAAACTGCTAATAAGTTCAATCTTTGTGATCTTTGATTGCTAAACTGTGAATAACGGGTTTCATTTTTGCGTTTGTGAAGATTTGTGTCTGAATTAAAAAAGGTGAAATTGCCTCAGTGTTGAAGCAAGTCACAAGGTGGAAGTACTTCGCTTACTTTATCATCAGTGTGTTTGTCATCTGTGTAGGTGACATCTGTGTTTGTCATCTTCATGGACATAGTCATTTTCTCTAAGTTGCTGGTAATACCAACCACTTGTTAGTTTATGAAGTACTTCATCACCTTCCTTTAAAATTATTTAATAGCTCTCATCTATCACCCCTATTTTATAGATGTGGAAATTGAGGCTTAGAGAAATTAAGTCACTCAAGATGATGTTAGCAGTAAAGTAAGCAATATACTCAAAATGGCTCCAGCGTTTACCCCACTTGAAGGCATTTAGTTATAATTATGCCAGGGCTTGCTTTTTGTTTATTAGATTCTTTATAAGTGCACTGATGTGATTACCAAAATGTTAAGTTGAATGCCACTGCAGTATATCTATTCCATTGCATGTGTAAATCTGTTTCTCTGAAGGATTCCTGCTAGCAGATTAAACTCATAGGGCATGTTTTTGTTTTCTTTTTTTTTTTAATTACTGTTTCCAAAGGAATTATATGGAAAGTTCCTGTTTCGTTTTGTTTTTTTTTTCTCTTAATTTTTTTTTTTTTTTTTGCTTTAAGCCAATGCTTCAGTTCAAAATTGAAAATGGGAGTTTTGGAAACATATTTAACTAATATTAACTCTTAATTTCCTTAGGTTGTGTAATAAAAATTTTATCAACACTTGAATGACAAATATTTTTCATTTTTCTATCTTTATTCTACAGAATGATAAATAAAGCTGACCATCCCTGGACAGAATATTAATCCTCCTCATGTAAAGTATGCTCAGTTCCTTTCCAGTGGTGTAAGTAGTCTTCCTCAATTTTTATTCTTCAAATTGCTTTAATAAAATTAAGAAATTATTATAATTGTAATTTAGATTTGGCAACAAACATTTGTAGTTTGCAAAAAGTTTTTTAGACACAGAATTTATTTTTATTTAGAAAGAGATACAACAAAGCCAGGTACCAGTGGCTCACGCCTGTAATCCTAACTATTCAGGAGACTGAGATCTGAGGATTGAGGTTCAAAGCCAGCCCCTGCAGGCAAGTCCATGAGACTCTTATCTCCAGTTAACCACCAGAAAACCAGAAGTGGTGCTGTGGCTCAAAGTGGTAGAGTGCTAGCCTTGAGCAAAGATTTCAGGGACAGCGCCCAGGCCCTGAGTTTAAGCTCCACAACTGACAAAAAAGAAAAAAATGCAACAAGACGCAGAGATTAGGAGAGTCACAGTTCTAAGGCTAGCACACACCAAAATTTAGCTGGCCCCTGTTTCCACCAAAAATCCAGCATGATTGTGAATACCTGTGATCCCAGCTATTCTGGAAGTATGATCTGGGGCCAAAAAAAAAAAAAAAAAAAACCCTAAAGTGAAAAGGGCTTGAGAATTAGCTCAAGTGCTGCTAGTACCTGGCTAGCATGCAATAGGGCCAAGAGTCCAAACCCAGTACTACCAACAAAAACAAAACAAAACAAAAAAAACAAGAGAATCGATATGGAGATGAGTAAGTGTCCTAGTCCTGGGACAAGGAGTGGACTTTCAAGACTCTCAACCTCTTTTTCCATTTCTATTTTCAACTTGTACATTTTGACTTTAATTTTCAATGGAATATACAATCCCATACTTACTCTGTAGTCTACAAGCTCTCTAGTCTAGGAACTTGTGCCATAGATAATTAGCTATTGGAGAGAGTAGAGTGGGTGTTAGATTGTTTGTGACAAGCAGAATATTAAAAGCATGTTACCCTAATGGTGCTCTTGTGTGCCGACTCCTTGCATCCTAGCTATTCCTCTTTACCTGTGGAGAACGATAATGCAGTTAAGCCTATTAGCTAAATGCAGTTGCTAGCTGTTCTCTGGAGTCAGGCAGAAATACAAATTGAGGTAGTGATATTATGTTGAGAGTGTTTCTTTGCTAGGATATGTATGAACTGTAACCACCAGTTCATATTAAATAGGCTTCTGAATAAAAGAATTCCGGGAATTTCAGATATTAGTGAAGATAAAGTATCTATTAGCTCATTAAGTACATCTTTAGAGTCTAATGCAGAGTGCCTTTAGTATAAGTATTCTGTAAATTTTAGTGGAGTCTGTGTTTACTTAAATTCCTTCCATTTTGGTTGACAGCTCTGTAATTCAATAAGTGGGCATTAAAGAGGTTTTCCTTATTTTTTAAGTTTTTCTTTTGTTTTCTCCCCCTCCTTTCATTGATTCTGTAATTTAGTGAAAAGTTCCTGGAATAGATCTAAAAGATATGAAATGTTGCCTAAGTTTCTGCTGAGTAACAGTGTCCGTGGGTAATCACTGGATCTTTTTAGATCTTGGATTTTGGGGTTTTTTCGCCCTTCTCTTCTCCTCCCCTCCCCTCCCTTTTTCCTCTTTTCTTTTGTCCTCTTTTTCTCTATTCTTTATTTCCTCTCAGTTTATGAACTAAGCCATAATTACTGAATGTAACCATTATTTTTATGTTTTAAACATTGTCTATGTTTTTTAATAATATAATGTACTCCAGATGGAAAAAAATCTTGAGCTTTATCACATAGCCTGGGCTGAAAGTATGATATGTACCTAGTCCCTTATATTGATACTTTTGATGTAACTAATACTTTGGTTCTAATATTTATCAAAACTATAGATTGAATTCCATAATAAATTAAGTTTTATATTACACCTGATGTCCATCTACTAGTAAACTGAGTATCTGTACCCGTTCATTTGCCATGAAAAAAAAATGTAGCAGAGACATGTCTTACTGTTTTCAGTAAAGAAATACATGTAGAGATAATGTATCTTCTGCAGAGCATTCTCAATGATGTGCTTTTTGGCAAATCTTGTTAATGAAAGACTTTTTTTTTCAGTTTGCTGGAAACCATGTCTCACTATACAGATGAGCCCAGATTTACCATAGAACAGATAGATCTGCTTCAGCGCCTCCGGCGTACTGGAATGACTAAACATGAAGTTCTCCATGCATTGGAAACATTGGACCGTCTTGACCAAGAGCATAGTGACAAGTTTGGAAGAAGGTCCAGCTATGGAGGAAGTTCATATGGGAACAACACCAACAATGTTCCAGCCTCTTCCTCTACAGCTACGGCTTCCACACAGACCCAGCATTCGGGAATGTCCCCCTCGCCTAGCAACAGTTATGACACTTCCCCACAGCCCTGCACTACCAATCAAAACGGGAGGGAGAACAGTGAGCGATTGTCCATATCGAATGGGAAGATGTCTCCAACTCGCTACCATGCAAATAGCATGGGTCAGAGGTCATACAGTTTTGAAGCCTCAGAAGAGGACCTAGATGTAGACGATAAAGTAGAGGAACTGATGAGGTTAGTTACTTTGCTTATTAAGAGTTACCCCAAAATGTCTCTGTTCTTCAATTTTGTAATAAGCACTATTTCAGCTATATTCATTAGAACTGATTTCTCCTTATTTGGAGATGAAAGAAAAAAATCAAATTGTGTTTTTTAACCACATTTTTCCTTCTTCGGACTTTTCTTTTTGCTATTTGATAAGCTTTTTTTCATTCTCTCTGTTTATCAAGGACTTGCCTTTATAGTGGTAGCAGCTAATGTAGGACTGACAGAAGTTAGTATAATCATCATTTGCACCCTTATAATTACTTTTTGTGAGGCACAAAATAGATTTCTGATACAGAAAATGCATACTCGTCATGTTTCCCTAAAATCTTCCAATCAATGAAATAATTTGAACAACTATTAGGTAAGAAGTAATTTTTAGGAAGAAAAATAGGCATGTATTCTGTCCCTTAAAAGCTAAAGATATACTTTTAGCAACAAATGCAACACACATACACAATCAATTACAAAGTTAATTGTAAACACTTGAGTTTTAAACACCAAGAAAAGAAGCCCCCTGTCGATAGAAGAAGCTTCACACCAGGCTTGTGTGTGAAGCTGAACTATCTTAGCACCTGTTACAGCTTAATATGGCAAACTGAGTAAGTAAATTGGAGAAGTCTTCAAAATAACCTCAGCTTTGAAATATTGAAACTGTATTTAAAGTTAAGGCACTTCAGACTTAGCTGTTGCTTTTGAATCTAACATATAGTATTGTTAAAATTAAAAGGGAGAACCATTTGGGAAAATAAGTTAGTTCACTCATTGAACTATAATAAGATGAGTTTTTAATTATTCTGAGTAGAAAGGATGTCTACAATAAAGTTTTTGTTCAGATACTAGCTTCTGGTATTTCATGATTGTTGCTGCTAATCAGTTTTGATACCTTTTTGCTGTAACAGTTCCTAAACGTGTATAGATGTATAACAAGTATGGAAAAACCATCTTTTTAATGAAATACTCCAGAAGATAGGATAGAATAGTCTAATAAGGGTCTAAGTACTTGACTTTTCCTCATAGGGTGGACAAATGGCTTTAAATCTACTGTATCTTCACAGTAAACAAAACCAATTAGCAATGATAGACTTGGTAGTTAAGTCTCACAATTACACGAATTGAAGTTGAACCTTTAAATTTATATGTAATTCTAAACACTATATTCAGTATTTCACTGGCATACTATATTGCTGGTTGCATTAGGACACTGTCTTTATTATCTGGAGACACTGTCTTCTCTTCCTCTGCTTCCTTGTTAGAACTGTATCTTTGGTGACTCCTAGATGTAGGGGATTCCTTTAAACTTCTGGCACTTTCTGTCCTCTGCCATTTAGCTTCTCCAGCTCTTGCTTTCTTACAGTGTGTTCCTCCTTACTTTTTTGAATACTCCTTCTTAGGTCAGAAAGAAAAGTTTATTGGATGACTGTTCTCTGGGGCACGGAGGCGGCGGGGGGGGGGCGGCCTTGAACTCAGAGCCTGGGCACTGTCCCTGAGCTCTTTTATTCAAGGTTCGTGCTCTACCACTCTGAGCTACAGCGCCACTTGTGTTTTTCTGGTGGTTAATTGGAGGTAAGAGTCTCACAGACTTTTCTGCCTGGACTGGCTTTGAATCATGATGCTTACGTCTCAGCATCCTAGCTTGGATACTGTTCTTACTACAGGCTTGACAGCCATGGTGTACACTTCATCAGAGAAACTGAAACTCAATAATTTGCCCAGAAAACTTGAATATTAGGAATTACAGCCTAAATTATAACCCATGTCTTTATCATCAATGTATTGCCAGTATTGGTTGCCACTGGAAATAACTTGTTCATGTTTATAGATCTAATAAGACTTTGGGAAATGTCAGTAGTTTAACTCAAGACACAGTATGAATCGCCAGTTGAGTTTCCTTCCTTCCCCCATAGGATATTTGCCGCTTTAATTCAACTAGTTGCTAAATAAATATATTTTTAATTTGGAGGAATATTAGATGAACGTTTTGAACAGTAACCTAGAAATTGACTGCTCTTGCTGGTCCTCAGCCCTGTAATGCTGTAATGAACTGGAGCTCATAGTCTGTTCAAGAGCAAGAGTCTCTGAATGCTTCTGCGTCCTCTGCTTGTCAAAGCCTCCTCTTGCTTGTGTACATTCCCCAGCTTCAACCATAGATAGATTTCTCAAGTCTCATAATCCAATGAATATATATTAGGTTTTATAATTTCAAGGGACATTATGGAGCTGTGGGGTTTTTTGGTAGAACCTCATCAAGTTATAACTTGATCAACTTACTAAGAAAGAGTAAGAAGAAAGAAAATACTTCATCCATTTTTTAGAGTAAATAAAAAAAGAAAGACAAATGAACATTTAAATTCACAATGAATTGTCAAATATAAAATTTTAGGAAGGACTATAAATCTAAGAATGAACAATCATTTCACATAATAATGTCTTTAAATATTAAAATGAAAATATCTCTATAGGAGTAAATGTATTTATAGATCTATTAGTGTATAACAGTTTAAATAAGGTTCATTAAAAATAATAAACTATACCATACAGAATGCTATTATTTATTACCCATGTAGTAACTTTTATGTTTAGTTATACAAAATTCTAAGACTTTCCTTCAAGTTGGTTAGCTGTAGGCCTAAAAATAGAATACAGGTGAGCATCTGTAATTTGAAATCTGAAATGTTTCAAAACTCAAAACTTTCTGTACAATAACATGATGCCCCAATGGAGAGTTCCAAAACATGCAACATTGTCCATGCAGAATGTTTTTTACAATATTGTCTAAAATTAATTCAGGCTATATTACAAAATATAAATGGAACACAATGGTGTGATTTTGTTTGTACATAGACACTATCCCTAAGATATCACACTATATATATATAAAAATATCCAAATCTACAAGTACAAAATCTGAAACATGTTGCCCCTCTGCCTTCAAGATGAAGGATATTCATCTTGTATTTACTTGTCTAGGTAGGATATTTACAGCCTGCAGGTAATTAGATGAAATGGTCAAGATACATACTTTCTATGTCAGCTATTTATTTAGAAAAGCTTGCCTTTAATGTTACCTAAAATTAAGCTTTGTGTACATCCATGGGCAGAAATTTATAGGAATAAATTTTAATTTATATCTGAAAGCAGTTTGTAGTTTGGCAGTGTGAAATATACTGTTTTTATAGGTATTGCTTCATCTCTGGGTATCTCTGAGAAACTTATCAATTAAGGGAATATGAAAGCTCTTAAAGCGTATCATTTAAAACCATGTGATCTATATAATATCTTTGATCCAGAAAATGAAGCAATGTCATCTTCAACTGCCAAAATACCTTTTCTATTCATTTTTGGACTTACATATAAATTTGAGATTAAGAATTTTAAACTGCCTTATAACTTACCTAGATCAGGTTTTCCCTTTTGCCATTACTGGGGTTTGAACTTAGGGTATTGAGTTTGCTTGGCTTGGCTGCTTGCTTGGCACTGTCACTTGAGCCACGTCTAGCTCTTTGCTGATTATTTTGGAAATGGAATCTCATGGACTTTTCTGACCTGTCTGGCTTTGAATCATGATCTCCACATCTCAGCCTCCTTCACAGTTAGGATTATAGGCATGAGCCACTAGCACAGGACCATTTTACAACCTTTTACCTCTTACTGTAGATTTGTACACTCTTTTAACAAATTAAGTTTGATTATATGACAATCTTTATGCTAAAGGAATTTATTGGCAACCTGGAGAAATAAAACAAAAGTTGGAGTAATTATAACACAGGCCCTATACCCACCAAAGAGAAAGGGGGGAGGGACAGAAAGGGGGGGAAGGAGAGAGAGGGGGAGGGAGAGAGGGAGATCAAGTGATCTTTTACCTTGAGAATCAGGGGGAATCTCTGATTAGATGATAGTTGAGTTGTGTGATTCAAAGCAGGGTATGGTCCACTTTGGAGGCTAAGCCAGGAGTCTGTATCAGTTCAGGGTCAGTCTGAGTAACATTGTAAGACCCTGTCTTAATGAATTCCTTTAACTATTAAGAAAAGTCTGTACCAGGTTCTAGTGGCTAGCTACTCAGGTGGTAGAGATCTGAGGATCAGGGTTTAAAGCCAGACTAGTTAGAAAAGTCTGGGGAGATTCTATCTTTAGTTAACCAGTAGAAAAGCTAGATAGGAATGTGGCTCAAGTGGTAAAGTACTACTGTGAGTGAAAAAACTAAATGAAAGTGCAAGGCCCCGAGTTATTAGAATCTCTGGTATTGACACCAAAAGAAAGTCAACAGATAAACAGCACAAAGTTGAGCACATCACTGACCCAGTGTCTGTGATTCCTTTAAAGTGGTTTGATGCAAATCAAGTGATAGCTTATCTTAGAAGTTATGAAGTAAAAAAAAAAAAAAGATCAACCTCCTCTTTAATTTATTAAGAATAAAATTAGGAATAGAAATCTTGAAGAGTATGAGACATTTTTAGAGAAAGGGGGAAGAAGGGATTCATTTTCTTTAGGGATAATGGCAAACTTCAGATGAAAGAAGAAGAGTAGAAAAAGAGAGAAGTAGATTTGGGGTAAATGAAGTTTTTACACTTAGGACTTCACAACTTAGAAAGGTGATAGAAGAAGGTAGTTTAAAAAGTCCTGAAAGAGGAGAGTAAGAGGAATATGTAAAAGTTTAAAGAACAAAACAAGCCTGGTAGAAATGAACTCTTTGTAATACTTAGGAAACTTGAAGACAGTGAAAGTTGAAGTGCTTGCTATTAAAAAAAAAAAATACCTAGGGGCTGGGAAGGTGGCTCAGTGGTAGACCACTTGCCTTGCATGCCAGAGGCCCTGGGTTCGATTCCTCAGCACCACACAGCAAAAAGAAAAAAGCTGGAAGTAGCACTGTGGCTCAAGTGGTAGAGTGCTAGCCTTGAGCTGAAGAGCTGAGGGACAGTGTGCCCAGGCCCAGAGTTCAGGCCCCATGACCGGACCCCCCCCCCAAAAAAAAAGAATTAAAAAAAATACCTACTAAAACAGTAATAAAAGACTTCATTGCCTAGCAACAGTGGCTCATGCCTGTAATCTAGCTACTCAGGAGGCTGAGATCTGAGGATCACAGTTCAAAGCCAGCCTGGACAGGAAAGTCTGTGAGACTCTTATTTCCAATTAACTGGAAACTGGAAGTGGCTCTGTAGCTCAAGTGGTAGAGCACTAGCCTTGAACAAAAGAGCTGAGGGACAGCGCCCATGCCCAGAGTTCAGGCCCCACGACCAACAAAAACAAACTAGATTTCATTGCTTGTGCATATATTGACCTTGTAGAAAGAACTCTTTCCTGGTACCTTATGGTACTTACTTCAGTTTTAAATGGTGATAGTGAATGGATCTTCCTCTTTTGGGATCTTAGTGAGGTTTTATAAAATAATAGCCAATATTATCGTTCTTTCATTAATTTCCATTTTTTACATTGAGGATTTTTATATTTTTATATTACCAGCATATATATTCAATATTTAATTTCATTACTTGAAGAAAAAAATTAAAGCTATATATTAGAAAGAGGTACTGGGGATGGAACCTAGGACCTTACAAATGCTAGGCCTCTACCACTGAGCTACATCTACAGCCTCTAAAAACTTTTATACATGGTCTTAATAGTCTTACTTTTACCTGATGTTGAAACTACAATGAAGCTAGCCCAAAAATCCTTGTGTTTTAGGGGATGGAATCTGGGTATTAAAACTCTTGAATGTTAGTCTAATATTTGGTTACTGAGCTATACCTAGTCCCCTATTTATTTCATTTAAAAAAGCTTGTCTCTGATAAAGCAATAAAGGGTGTGTGTGTGTGTGTGTGTGTGTGTGTGTGTGTGTGTGTGTG